GATTTGAATCAAGCAACAGGAAAAGTCTCTCCAAGTGATTTTTCAGAAAAGGGACTCTGATTAAAGAAACATTACATCTTCTCTGAATAACAGCCTTTTAGTTTGATGTACAAGAAGCACTAGGATGAAAAAGAAGCACTGTGATGGAAAAAAACAAAGTTCTTGGTTGTATCATCATCTGAGTGGACAAAAATAACCCAGTAGTACTAGCTCATAAATGTTCTGAATTATACTGAGTGAAATACATGACGAAGAAAAGAACGCAGAACATCACAAAGCGTTTTCTTGTGTGACCTCGCTTGCAGCACTGTGTGCAGTGCTGGTGTCAGCCTAAGAAGGACACGGAGCTGCTGGAGCAAGGGCAGAGGAGGCCACGAGGATGCTCAGGGGCTGCAGCACCTCCTGTGTGAAGACAAAGGCTGAGAACACTGGGGCTGTTCAGCCTGGAGAAGAGAAGCTGTGTGGAGACCTCAGAGCAGCTTCCAGGGTCTGAAGGGGGCTGCAAGGATGCTGGAGAGGGGCTCTTCATCAGGGACTGCAGCGACAGGACAAGGGGTGATGGGTTCAGACTGAAACAGGGCGAGTTCAGGTCGGATCTAAGGCAGAAGCTCTTCCCTGTGAGGGTGCTGAGGCGCTGGCACAGGATGCCCAGAGAAGCTGTGGCTGCCCCCTCCCTGGCAGTGCTCAAGGCCAGGATGGACAGAGCCTTGGGTGCCATGGTTTAGTGTGAGGGGTCCCTGCCCACAGCAGGGGGCTGGAACTGGATGATCTTCAGGTCCTTTCCAACCCAAACCATCCTGAGTCTATGATTTTACTCGAGTTCTTTAATGGAACCCCTAGGGCCTTCACAGACACCAATTTTTTCCTTACAGATCGAATGTCCAAATTCTCTATTGCTGGTTTAATTCTATGTACACTGGAGAAAAATACTGAAAGAATGAAGTTAAGTTCTATTCCTTTGCCCGCTGAAGAGCACAGGAAAATCTCTGGTGGGTTTGCTGGAATTATTAACAATGCCACTATACGACAGCAACCAGGTGTTAAAAAACCTGACGACACAGGAAAGGAATTCACATTTCACTTCTGCGTACTCCGGGGAATACTAATGAGTAATCTGCCTTGCTATTAAATACAATAAACAATATTCCTCAGGTTAAGATCATTTTCTTGCCATCTTCTGAGCTAGCTGCTGGCCTGCTGCTCTACTGAACTAAAATGCTTCCCAAAACTTAGATGAACAGCTCCACTCGCTCGGATGCATCTGGAGGTTTTGGCAGTTACTGTGATCCTGATGCAGACTGACAGCGTGCAAAACAATTGGGGGGCTGTCTTTTGTCTGTCACAAATACAAAGCATCTTTACTTAAAGTAATCAAGAGCTCAGCAGCAGCACAATTACTGTGCAAGATCAAACCATTTCCAGGACTGCTGGAACTTGCTATTAATACCCAAAATAAACTATCAGGGTTTATTTGTAAGGTGCTTTGAGATCTTTTAACCAGAGCTACAAGAACGCACCACCCTACTGCATCACAGGATCACTGAATGGCTTGGGTTGGAAAGGACCTTAAGATCATCCACTTCCATCCCCCTGCCATGGGCAGGGACACCTTGCACTATGTATTTGCCACCAACCTCGGTGGGAACTTCTAATGCAAGCACTACTTTAAAGAGAAACAAACTAAAGTACAAAGAGACGACTTCGTTTCTTTCTGATTGTAAGACATCAATGTCAGCCCAAGGTCAGAACCGATTCCAGCTCCACGGGAATCACTGGGTCACTATGCAAGGCTCTTTCTTTTCTTCCCAGAAATCTATCGTGTTCAGAAAGGCTGCAGCAGAAAACACCATTTTGCAAAGCAATGCGACATGAAACACGACTGCTCAAGAGCCAAAAGCTAAGAAACACCCTACAATTAGTTCAACTGCAAGAAGTAAAGCCAGTCAGTGACCTCTACAGAGACTGAAAAAGGGAGACTCTGACTGCAGCTCCTGTAATCTACAGAGAAATCTGTTTTACCTCTGCTCTTTCGGTCACTGAAACCGACATGCCTCAGAGTTATTTTGGAATTGACTCCTGCCTCATTCACAAGAGCATCAGTTTTGTTGAGCAAAAATACATCATGCGTGGGCTTTACCACCAGCACAACTCCAGGCGTTGAGTCAGGAGCTCGGCACACCTAAAGTCAAGGCAAACCCTCTTAATATATCACAAGACAAAGACCTCTGATAACAGGAATCCCTTTCTATGTCTTCCCCAGGTGGCTGACCAGGCAAAAGCCGTTGGAGGAGTTGCAATAAGAGAACGACTTCAGACACAGTATTACACGATAGCGCGTGACCGGACAAGGAATTTCAAATGAGAAGTACTGTAAAAACCAGCATCATGCACTCAGGCCACCCCAGTCAGCCTCAAGAAAGTAACAAGTAATAGTGCATAAAGCTATTACAAAAGAAGGAAGTACAGAAGTTGAACCCATCGCTGTACGGCAAGCCCAGCGCTGGTCCAGAGCTAGTTCAGTCCCCAGCTAGCAAAACCTTGCCCTAAAATATTGATATCAATTCCACTTTATCTAAAGGATCACCTGAATTGTAAAGATCCACCTGGGGTTGGCAATTTCTCATTCAATCACACCATTCGGTTACAAAGTACCTCTATACCTTGTGTTTGCTTCACCTGTTTTAACGAGCTGTGTGGTTTTGTCTCACCTCTCCAAGTTCATCCGCTTACGTACTGCAGTCATAATGGCAATAGTTATTGTACTGCCTTCTATTCACCTCTTCTTTGCCCCATAAAGTAAGCCTCACCGCTGCAAGAAGAAAGGGATTTCCCCTCACAGAAACCCTATGGTAACAGCTACAACCTAAGGCCTGAACTACAACGTCTGCTCCATAAGAAACTTGTATCTTTTAGCATTTCTTTTCTAACACCAGGTGTCCCGAAGCATCCACACATTCAGCTATAGAAAACATCCCCAAAACATTCCGTTCATAAATATACAAATATTTTGTTTGCATACATCATATTTTTAAACAGAACACTGTGCTATTCCAGAATCAACACACTGAAATTGATCTGACATTTAACTGCATCTGCTGTATGAGCTGTAGGAAGATCTAGGCAAGCAATGTTTCACTATGTGCTTGCTGTCCCCTGTAACACGCATCTTGGGAGGTAACTTAGCTGATTCCAGAGTCTGCTCAGAAAGAAAACATCCTGTACAGACAAAAAGTCCACAGGGAAACCTATTCCATGAGAACACACGGCCAGAAGACTTACTACCTGTGAGACAGAGGGATCCTAGAGATGCTCGTTCAACCACCTAGATGTTACATGTCCATTTTCTCACTGGAAACCAGCAAGAGAAACCCCACAGAGAAAACACGATGATCCCATGGTACTTCTACTGACACCCACAAACCCCTAGAGGGGAAGTGCAACAGCCCCTTGGCATCAACGTGCTGAGAAAATGGCAATCTAAAACTCATAAAGGAAACAGAAGACTCCTCTTACCCACTTCTCCAACTCAAGTGATGCCCACAGAACGAAAACACCCTTCTAAACAATAAGCCAACCAAAAAACCCTACGCGATTCGTGTTTTAAAAATCAAACTGGGGGAAAAAAAAGATAAACGTAGTAAAACTGGTATCCCTTTTCATCCTTCTCTGCCCCCCCCCCCGCCAGAAAAGAAAAAGAAGCAAACACGAAGCGCTAGAATGCTTAGTGAAGCTCACTGAAAGTTCTATGTTTCTATGCATTTCATACGGAAGAACTCAAAAAGCTATACTGATTGTAGGGGCAGACTAGTGTAAAACAGGTCACCAGTACTCAGAAAGCAAGCCAGCCTTATCAGGAAAGCACTCAAATAACTCATTCCCTTAGCACATAAGCGAGGGGTATCATTTTTCTTTAAGAAACAAGCTAGTACTCCACACTATGCACTCGAATCACCTCTACTTCTCTAGGACCAAGGAAAGAATAAAACAAAAGCCCAAAGCTGGCTGGTTCTTTTCACTAAGAGTACTTGTATCTTTTCAGTGACAGAAACCTGACATTCAACGAATTGTAAGGTATTTTTTAGGCACCTATTTACACCATTGTGTATCTGTACACAGAAGATGGCATTAGACAATGTCTTTAAAGATAATCCATTCCAATAAATCAGAGAACAGAGCTTCACAGTCACTTATTCACATATTAATGGTGAAAACGTCAGGGCCATTTACAACCAAAATGTTATTTAACAACAAACTACGAGAAATTTACTACATGTTGACGCAGTTAACGTTGTATTTACAAACATGAGTGCAATAGTTTGCAAATAACTATTTTCTCAAACATCTCCAGGTTTTAGGTCTGATTTTGTCTCCAGAATTGTGTTTTTAATTACAAAGTTATGGAAAAAATAGGGTATTTCAGCTGTAGGCCTAACGATAGCTACCAAGAGAAGTTAACTTCATGACGAAAATGAGACTTTCTTCCCCTATTACCACTTGTTGCTCTTCTGAAAGAAAGCAAACCCGATGATACTTACTACTACTTTACTCATTAATACCTACGTTCAGTATAAATGCACAGAACTACTTTCCAATCTCCAGTGATTTTCAGTCTGTGATGAAACATTCCATTACTTACAGTAAGCACGGCACATTTATGTCTAACTCAAAAAAGGCAAATCAAACCCTCACAAATGCTTTCAAGCTTAAATCAACTTACAGCCAGATTTAGTCTTGACATAAAATATAGCCGTACCTTCCAGATAAAAAGCATTTCTCTTTTCAAAGGGAGACTTTCAATCACTTTAATACACCTTATAACTTAGGTCCTGGAAGCACCTACTAGGAGCAGAGCTAGTACCAGATAACGCCAAGCATCTAAGCGGGTATTAATGAATGCCCAATACAAATGAGTTTTCCACATGCCAAAGAAATGCAATTTTAAGTAGCCACAGAAACTGAACAGGCAGCGACAGAAAAAGTGCCCTGCACAATCTACTTACTAGCATGCTTATCTGCAAGCATTATAAGGCTGTTGGAGATATCTCTTCGCCTGTAAAAGCACACCACTTTTGCTTCCACGTTTCCATTGGCAGTCTACAAAAGAAAGACAAGTTAAGTCCAAATGTATTTCTGATCAGATGAGGAATAGAAATTAAATGCCCTCTGCTTGCCATCTCCCCTCATGTGAGCAGTTCTCACGCGATCAGTCAGGCTGAAATCAACAGGATTACTCAAATAAGCAGAACTTCCTGACACCAACATCAACTCAGATCAGACAATCACAGAACGGTTTGAGTTGGAAGGAACCTTAGAGCTCACCCAGTTTCAACCCCCTGCCATGGGCGGGGACACCTCCTACTAGACCAGGCTGCTGGAAGCCCCATCCAACCTGGGATCAATCATAACTACTTTGTCCTAAGAATGGATACATTATTCAGCTGGTTAAAGATGTAATAATGCCAGCATCATGTTAACATGAGAAGCCTTGACAAATATCAGAAGCTCATGAACATTTCCTTGCAACCCAGGCTTAGACAGAAACGTGTATTTCAAAGTATCATACTTAATACAACATGGATTGTTTGAAAAGTCATTGCAGATCGAAGATGAAGAAGCTGCTTAGTTCACAGTTGTTTTCCTGACTCATTATAGGGACCGTGCTCTTCAGCCTGATAATGTAAAGATTTTATTAATATTTGAAGAACCGTTCCCTCTTTCTTGTGATGAGAAGTACAAAATCAGTTCATCACCTTGAATTACTTATTTAAAACTAAAGATGAGTTTTACTATTAAGCTATTATACTGTGTTACTCAAGTCTGGCACTGAGTAATATCATGTCTTAATTTTCTTACACAAAACCAACAACAACAACAAAAAAAAAAGCATCTGATCTCTAGTAAAATAACCAAAGCATTTCATGGCCTGTTTGCTCAATGCCTTTAACATGTAATTCACTATAGACTATATCCTCAAACCTCTCTCTTAAAAACTAAGAACAAAAAAATCACTGTATGACTCTGCTCTACCATCCACAAGCAAGATTCAGGTTTTGCACAATGCAATGCAGTTTGAAGATAATAAACATCCCATTCAGAACATGACTGGAATCACTTCAATTACTGCACAGGAATATTCTTCTCCAAGCAAAGTCCAAACTGATTTGCCATGCACAAATTCAATGGCTGCCGTGCTGGCCAGCACTGGCAGGTAAGGTGGCTGATGTCCGCTATGGAGCAGTGTTATGTTCTATTAAGAAGAAGAAAAAAACACCACCATTTTCCAAGTCACCAATTCTGTAATTTGCTTTCTAAGCACAGGGATCATTATTTCCATCGTGACAGGCATTCTGATCATTGACTTCTGCCCTAACATGATGGGAAGTTTTAATACTGGTTGAGGGACGACTGAAAATACGCTATGCTCAAAAATCCCACACCGGTCTTAGCAGTAAAACAAAGAATCACACCTTCCCCACAATGACATGGCGAAAATCCTCCGTTCTTTACAAAATACACTCAGCTAAAGTCAGAGAATGCAGTCTCTATTCACAAGCCCGTCCTTCATTCACAGCTGCCAATAAGCAGAGCAATCAACAGCCACACAAGTCACATATTCTGGTATCTGATCACTGCAAAGTCTCACTGATACCCACTAGCTCTTTCCAGATACATCCAAAAGCAGATACATCCCGCGCTTGCAATCGTTCCAGACGGATTTGCAGACAGAGCATTAAACTCATTCATTTCCTCAAGCATTTGCAGGACTTGTTTGGAAATTTCTACAGCAGAGTACTCCTGTCCACCAGGAATGATCAACTGGCTGCTGCCTTGCATAACACAGCAGAAGGACTGGGTATCACACAGCAAGAGCTCAGTGACTGAAACACGAAATACACCAAAAAAAGCCAAACAAAGGAAAACCAAAACCGATCACCACCCCACCCCACCCCCCCCGAAATAAAAACCTCACGGGATGGAAACCACTGTCAGTGTTTGCAAGTGCACTGCCTGCCAAAGGTTCAGCAAGAATACTAGTTATTTGTGTACCTTGTTCAGTTCTTCAATTCTCCTGATGAGATATGGGTTGCTGGAAGAGTTCTCAAAATACACGTAATCTGCAATGAGAAAAGGAAACATACTGAAATACCACGCAAGCACATGCAAAGTCACATCACTGTTACTGCAGAGAACGTTCTTCTAAACACAGAAGGCGTTAAAAAGCGGGGATTTCTTAGTGAATGTTAAGACAATGAAGTTTTTCTGCCCTGAGAACTGACATCATTTGTTCCTAAAGCCCAGTTATAACTGTGCTACACGTGCTTTAACAATCGCGCTGAAATCAAGTTAAATGCCTCGTGGTGGAGCCTACACTTGCAGTCAGCAATCCACACGCTTCATACCTGATATAAACCCAGTGCTTTCTCGCTACTGATTAGGGAAGATTTGAGAACTGAGCACTTACAGTGAGTTTCTGTATTACAGAGATTTCTGTAAAATACGCTGCCTAGCAGTTCTTATCAGAAGCTGTGGCAGTGGAGTTGTCCTAATGAGTAATACACGTTTAATAACACTTGCTTTTGCTGTCATCGCTGCTCAGTAACATGCAAACGATACTAAGCAGTAACAGCCACGGGTCTGTGAGGTTCTTCCGATCAGACAATCACTAACATACAAACATTTTTATAGAGTATACGGACGTTTACTTACAGCCTGAAAGCTGCTCCCAGGTAACAAACAAAGAGCTCACAGGGAGCACACTTCCATCAACAGCTTCCCAAAGCTTGCTTTCCTCAAACGCTCATCACCCTTTTACATGTGACACCTGCACCACGCACCTTGGAATCTCCGTTTACAAAAGTTGGGGCGGGGGGGACGGGGCACAATGATGTGCAAGGCTCTTGCACAATGTTTTGACGCTACATTGCGGTGAAACAGCAGCTGGTGTGGCTCAGTTAGCTCTAAAACACAGCGTGCCATCTCTGGATGTTGTTCGCAATGGCTTATCCAGATTACAAGAGAACCTATGACCTAAGAAGCAAACCCTACCCAGATTTCAACAGCACCGCACAGCGAAGGGTCACCTCCCCGAGTAAAGGCTGCCATTTAAATGCCCTAATGAAGGAGCCCGCTGACGGGCGGTTTGGGGATGTGTATCGGCGCCCCTCGAAACAGAAGCAGAAAGAGATTCAAACCCCCATCGCCCCTCATTTCCCTTCACCTTCCCTCTCGCCTCAGGCTGCCGTGGGGAGCGCAGGAGGAAACCAGCCGCGCTTGAGCACCAAGCGTTGCTGAGAACCTCACCGGAGCGCTGCACCTGAGCCGCCAAGCGGGAGCACGGCCATGCCCGCTCCGTAAAGCCGGGGGGGGACACCGGCAGGTTACCGGCCGCTGTTCCGACAGGCTGCGGATGGGAAGGGAAGCGAAGCGAAGCGGCCCCGTTTACTGCCGCCCGAGAGCCAAGCACCCGCCCGGGGTCACTCTCGCACCGATCCCCGGCTCCACTGCCAGGCTTATCATTAACCCAAACCCCGCCGCCGAGCGCGGGGAGCGGCGCGGAGCCACCCGACAGCCCGCGGCTGCCCACGCCGCTCCGCACCGCACGGGCCCCGCAGGCCGCAGGGCCGGGCCGAGGAGGGCCCCGTCGGGCAGGGCAGCCCGGCCCAGCCCGGCCCAGCCCAGCCGGCCGCAGGGCGCCGGCCCGGCGGAGCCAGGGGCCGCTCGCCGGGGAAGGAGGCGATGCGCGCACGGAGGCCGCCCTCGGCCCGCGCCGCGGCGGAGGGGCAGGAAGCCGGCGGCACCGCTCCCCCCTTTCCCTGCGGAGGGCGGCGCTGCCCTTCTCCTCCTCGGCGGCGGGGGCCGGCCTCCAGCCCGCGCACACGGCTGCCGGGGGAGGAACCTGCGGCCTCCGCCCCGCCGAGAGCGGCCACCGCTGCCCGCGCGGCTCCGGCCGCCCCGGGGGGGGCCACGGCGATGAGCCGCGGCGGGAGCAGGGGGGGCCGGTACGCCTCGGTTCGCCGCGGCTCGGCTCGGCTCGGCCCCCTCGGCCAGGGCCAGGCCGCGTCCCCGCTGCCGGGCGCCGTTTCCCCCCCGCGCCGAGCGGGCGCCGCTGCGTCCCCACATACCTCCCACTCGGTACATGTTGGCCGCCATGTCTGCGCTCTGCGCCGCCGCCGCCCTCCTCCTCCTCCTCCTCTTTCTCCTCCACCCGCCTGTGCCGGGCCGGGCAAGGAGGGAGCGGCTCCCGCTGCCCCCCGCCCCGCGCCACCCTTCCCCGCCCGGGCGCAGGACGCAGCGCCGCGCCTCCCGGGGCCGCCGCCTCGGCCGTCTGCGGAGCCGCCGGGCGGGGAACGGGTTAAACCACCGCCCCCCGCGCACCGGCCCCGGGGCGGGTCGCAGGCCGAGGCCGGCGGCTCGGCCGCAGGTGGGGCGGCCCGAGGGGGGGCGTGCGCGGCTCCCCCGCCCCGGCCCGGCCCTGTCCTGTCCGCCGCTTTGTCCGCACGCTCGGGCCGATGCTCGCCGTTCCCCCGGCGCCGCTTTGTCCGGTCTCTGCCCCTCGGGGGCTGAGGAACAGCGCGGAGAAAGTTTCCGACGCCGGCGGGGAGCGGCACCTGTTGGCCGAGAGTCCTTTGTCCGGCCTCGGCCGCCCTGCTACCGCGGAGCAGAGCGAGAAGCGGCAGCGGGCCTCGGAGCGCTGAAGGACTCGCTTAGAACCCCCCCCGGTGAGAGGGATGTGCTGCGGAAACAGCGGTACTGAGGTGAAGCGGCGCCGTTCCCCCGTGTCCGCACAAAGTTCACGCCTGCACCGACGAATCGGACACCGTACAAGCGACGATTTCATCGTTCGCGTCTCGTGTATTACCGGCGAACAACATTTCGCTCCATCCCGAGCTGCAGGGAAACACGTTTGGCATAAGGAGGACGGGCTTCCCTGGTGTTTCAGATGCTCTCTTTCCCCTTTTAAGTGAATCTGGCATCATTAGATTCTACTAAAGAGGCTACTTCCAGGGCAACTGAAAGTAGAATCTACTTGATAAAGATACTACTTTCAGGTCACTCTTCATTTCCTGTGCGACTGCCTTGTGTCTTAACAGGCAACTGAGTACGCGAAGTGGGCGTATGATACAGCGATTCAGTCGTCTTTAATAGACGGCAACGCATTCCTGCATTGAAAGGAAAAAAGGGATCTCTTCCTCTCTTTTGTCTCCCAACGACAACATCTGTGCGAGCTGAAAAACTCCATGGGAAGCTGCAGCTCCCTGCGGCTGGTTACTTCTAAAGACACAGTAACAAGTACCTTAGCAGAGACCTAAAACCAGGTATCTAGAAGTTAGCGTTGGTTTGACTCTTGCGGCTGGTTTCCTGCTTGTTTAACGGAACGGGTTAAACTTTAAAGGCAAAAGTCAGTTCAAATAGTTGGCTTCTCACAGTCGTTAGCAATTAAACAAAATGCCTCCCGGCTGTTTCCCTGCACTGCCACATTACAGGAGTTTCCCACCCTTTGAAACTTGCAATGCCCACCCGTTTTCTCACCGATGAAACTTACACTGACCCGAAACTGGACAGAAACAGACCCTCGCTGCCCTCAGCTAAAGGCAGGGGCTAGGGAAAAGGAAGGCAGCTCCTGAAGGTACAGAACTGGCCTCCCAGAACAGTGCCAGAGCAGCCGGAAAGCCCATGGTCCCAGCCAGCCCGTTCACACTGACCACTGAAAACAGCAAGAAAAAAAACCCTTTATTTACGATTGCCTGACCAAGGCATGCATCACAGACCAGATCAATAAAGAATAATCTTTATATACCTTAGTACTGAATCACTGGGCCACATTACTCACACTAAGCAGTTGATAAGCCCACAGGCAGCACAACCTGGTACTGTTTGGGGTTATGCTGCTGTATTTGCACAGCTTAAAGTCCCTGCTGGAAGCTGAGGGAGGCCGTGGGCACAGCTAGCTGGCTCAGGTACTGAGCTGCAGTGCATTTTACTTTGGTGCAGTGTATAACAAAAGCCTGGGCGCAGTTTATTTTCTGTGCTGTCTCAGCGCACAGCATGGGGAAAAGTGTTATGTAAATACCTTCGTTTTCCTAGATTAAATACAACAGAAAACCCTTGTTTCAACCACAACGTTGTTGAGGAAAACATCAGGCTGGAGCTTTGTCTTAACCTGGTAACTGAACTGTATCCAGCCACAGGCTGAGATTACTCGTGTTGTTCTAAAGGAACCACATTCCTGGCGCAACTTAAAATTGCAAACTAGATTATTCCTGTTAGAGACACAGATTACTGGAGGGCTTTGGTTGTTGTGCCATCCCAAGCAGCCCATCTTTCCTCCTCATATTCCTCCAAAAGAGGGCCAAAGACAAAAGAATAGAGCGTAAAGAATAACTTAAACGCAGAGCAGGTCCCTGGTCCGAGCTCACCAACTGCAATGATGAAAAAAGTGTTTCTCATTGGGGATAATACAGAGTTTAACTTTTGTGCAGCTCTTGTGCAACACCCTGCTTTATGTCCAGAGAACTGAACTTCAGAGGTTCCAGCCCACCATCGTCTCCAGCCAACAAAAGCCTGAATCTAACCAATACCCACTCCAGCCCACTCCCCAAATAAAAAAGCCAAACAAATACAGATTTGCTCACAAAAGGCACCAGTATTGAAGACAAATTACTCCCCAAATTACTTGCTTAAGGATTAAACCAACACTTCAGAGTTCTGAGGTAAAATACCTTGGTAGAGGTGTGTTTAAGAATGGAACCCGTGGGGGTCTTGCAGGTAGAAACAACAACATCAACAAAAGCATTGGGAAAAGAGACAAAAGAACTGGAAGAGAGTTGCTTGAACCTTAACCAAAGGTGCTCAGAGCTTTCACGGAGACTCACCCTTATGCTGATGCAACAGAAAGGAAAAGGCATTTAGCCTTTGCCATCCAGGGGCCGGACTTGTAAGACCTGCCTAATTCAAAGCAGCTGAGCCTAGAGGATCTTGTTGGCAGCACAGGAAACATTCAGCAGGTCAAGCTTATGTCTTCAAGCCAAGGGTACGTGGCTCTCTTGCTAGTAAAACTTTGTCACAGTGAATAAACAGGCTGCATGCACATAACCCATAACGATAACACCACAAAGGACTTTACAAATGATTATTCCTTGTCAGCCTAAACTCCTGCTTACACTGAGGGTAACCCACCACCGCAGAGGACTTTGGCAGTACACAGGCTGGTCCCGGAATAGGTAGTCTTACGAAGGCACTTTCATCTAGTGTGAACAAACATGCCTGCAAACACAGCTGCACACGGATCAGACTGCCTTCCAGGCAGCTAAAAGTACACGCACTTGTGGTTTTTACCCGTGCAAAGACACAGCATAGCTTGCAGAAATTCATACATTGCTGTCACCTAATTAGTCACCAGAGAAAAACCTTTTCCCGTGTGAATACTCATGGTGACGTTTGTAAGAACCTCAGAAAACTGCCGTTTTCTAACAGGCATTATATGAGATTGTATGAATTTAATTCACGGGAGAGATGACATTCAGTGTTTATTACTGTATGCAACAGGTAATTTTAGCTGCCTCTACTGGAACAGAAGCCGGGTGTGATGCGTAAGAGATGCTTCCATATCGACTTCTTTATGGAACAGGAAAAAACCTCAGCACTCTCACAAGAGAAAACCATCCCTTGGCATCAGAGATAACATCGGCTTTTTTATTTACTCTGTCAGTCAGATCTCTCAGCTGACTCTTATGTCACTATTTTCATTAAAAATGATTTAAACAATAGCTTAAAGTCAGTTGCAAAATGATCTGCAGTAGTCTGCAGATTTAGATGTTCAAGCCAAATCTTCAAATTCTAAGACTGCCACTAAATCAACGTGCAGAGAAAAACGGTGCTTATGGCTGGCAACAACTTACGTGAGTGGGTAGTGAAAAAGAAGTATCACCTAATGGGCTTTCAGTAAGTATCCTACTATTATACAGGTAGGTGCTGTATCCTACCATCCAGCACTGCTTTGACACCACACAGAATTTCATCTCCCACAAATCAGACAATTGAATTAAGGACTTTTGGTGCAGAATAAGTCAGATTTGGTCCTGTTTTATATCTGTCTTCTTATTCTGACTGAGTTCGCTTGAATGAAATCCCTTCTCTTGCAATGGAAATAATACTACAGGTTTGATGGAGAGAGGGAAGGAGGGTAAAGTAAGGTTTGTTATTAATCTACTACTATAGACCAGCTATGCCAGAAATGCATTTCTTCCACTCCACAGGCAGAACTGCCACAGTTTTTGCCAATAACCTCAGTAACAGAGCAAAGATCTTCTTTTCTAATCAGATTGGCCAATTTCCTTTTATTTAATCTAGAGCTTTTGTTATAGCTACCAATTTACTTTGCAACACAGACAAAGCCTACAGCTCTAGCATCCTGTTTTGTACCCCCTTACGTTTGGCCAGTGTTAGAGAAGACTTCGGTTCACATCTTGTTTCTGTTCAAGTCATTGTGAGTTTTGTGGTGGCTCCAGTAGGGTTAAGGTGAGGCCATGAGATACCTTTATCTGCTTGGGAATCAGAGCCGTTGGAAACATCTTAGAGTGTTGCACACACCTGCAGCACTCCTAAATGAAGCCATTTTGGGCTTGAACACAGTTCTACTAGAGAAGCATTAAACACACCGCAGTAGATTTGCTCTTTTCTCTCTCCCTTTCTCTCAACTGATCTATTTTTCCTGCTAAACACCTGTTAAAAAGCTGTCAGAGGTGCTTAATGACACATACTTAAGCAGAGCACAGTACATTCATCTGAGCAGAATTAACTGAAGGCAAGGACTCAGCATCTGTTCAGGTCACTTTGGGGACTGAATGGTTATGGGAAAGCAATGTACTGATCAGATGTACCCTCAGTGCCTCACCATGTCTCTGAACACTGCTTTGTGTCTCCATTGCAGACATGTCGGACCTGAATTTCTCAGGTTCTGGGTTTACCTTTAGTTCTGATGTCTTTATGCAGGCAGCAAGTCTCCAGGTCAGTGCAGCGAGAAGACTCATTCTGCTGGTAGGAGCGACTCCACTTCTGAAATGGCTGGGTGCATTTCAGGGCCACTTTTGTCAGCGGTATAATACACACACCTCCCTCTTAAATCAGGGAAATCCTGACTGCTTACACACAGCCTATTTAACTCTGTGTTCGAGTGACCTTTATTTCTGAGGTGGGATCAGAGAGGAAGTCAGTTTGCTTGCCTGATTAACAGGCCTCTGACTAGACGCCGTGCTTCCAAAATCAGTCTGGGTCCAAGCGAGGAAGAACAGAAGCACAATAGCAATAGTGTTATTTTGGAAGTGTCAGGAGTTGCTTTGAAGGGAGTCTTTTACCCA